CATTCACTTATTAATTTAAAAGTTATAGCATGAAGACTATAACAAGCACAAAATGGTTATGAGGTCAGTCCCAAGAATGAGCTCGTGCTGAAAGAGTTAAGCACAAAGCTATACAATGGGCTATCTGTGCTCTGTCCACCACAGGTATCGAAACCTGGTTTCTAGCATCATTGGAAAAATTGATAAAAGCATATAGGGTTGAACATGCTATATTAGAACACATAAACTCAAAATGTCTTGTACAAGAGTTTGATGTTTTTCTCATGTTTAATGCACTCATTTAGAAATGAAAATAGTACAAAGGGCTTACATTTATAGTGCCCATCAAGTCAATGTTTCCATTAACAAGGAAGCTCTCATTATCTTTCTGTGAAGGTTTTGAAACAGGATATGGCTGAATGGCCAAGATCTTTGTGGAAACACAGGAGAGATCATCAGGTTGTGGTGAGGAACATGTGGTTGGAACCGAACTAAGATGGCTTCCCACAAGGTTTGATGATATTGTATGGTCAGTGCTCATTACAGACATGTCACTGTTACCTGTAGACGTCACAGTGCCAACCTTGTTTGTACTACTACTGTGAGCATTTGTTGACTGCAGTTTAATTTGTGGTTCAACTTGAGTGGTGAGTGGGTCTAATGATGGCTGTTTTGGTTCAACACAAGAACATGCACCATTGGCCAAATTACTACTGTTAAACAGCCCCTTGTCTCTACAAATAGAAATTAACAATATCATTATTCAAATTCTCTGAAGGTCTTAACTAGTAGAAAAAAATATGCATAAAAGACTCAAATTTAAGACTTATTAATATTTTAATGTTCTTTTTTGTGATGATTTTCATAATATACCTTTTGTCAACTTATTATCAAAATAACTATTTAAAAAAAGATTGAAAGAAATATAGTCAAGCAATTTAAGATTAGCTTATATTTTTTTTAAACAGAAATGGTCCTAGAAATATATAATGATACAAGTTTTGCAATGATATTTCCAATGCTGAGAAATAATAACATAATGACTACAGACACTAAAGAAAACAACTTGCAGAAAAAAGGACCCACAGAATATTATGTGAAACTTCCTGCATTAGCAAGCAAAAATCGTGAGAAGTGCTTTATAACTGATATCTATAAAAATATTTATGAATCATATCAATTGATTCATTCTAATAAATGGGGTAAATATTACAGTCTCTGCAATACACTTATATTTATTGAAATAATAAACTGTAGTACTTACATGATGGAGGAAGCTGGTTTGGCTTGACTAATTCCATGAGTTTTATGGTCAGAGGATACCTCAGTTTCAGATCTATTATCACCATCAGAGGACTTCGACGTAGTTTGGACTGGATCCGACAGCTGGCTTTCAAACAAATCAGTGTCTAATGCATCCTGAAAAATTAAAAACAAATAACTATATGTTTACGTGCTTAAAATGATAAATATAAGCATCCTTTATAGATTTCAAAATATGTTTGAGAGGAAATGATACAAATGACTAACAGTTCAAATATTCTACCCATGAACAAGAATTTACAATACTTTTAACTTTAGCTTTTAATAAAATCTTCCAAAAAAATATATATAATTAATTGTATTTAGAAAACAAACTGGAGTTTAAAAATAACTTCCCTTGGGTCTTAGCTAAGGTTCTCTCTATCAGTTCAATTAATTATTAATTTGCGAATTAATTTTACAACAATTAATAGATAAATAATTTAAAAAATTACAATAAGGTCAATGAGATGTAAAAATAAGTCTACCTAATTCAAGAAATGGATCATAACTCTTCTTTGCAGTATACAAGGAAACAGAAAAAATAGTTTCAAAATAAATATATGTAAACTTTGGTTCTATCACAATATTCGACTGAAATTACAAACCTATACTCAATACTACAAAACATATGATCAAGATTTTGAAAATAACCACCACCATAAACATATAATTTCTAGTATTCATGCTAACTAAAGTCTATAATATGAAAGAAAGGGAGGCTTAACAGTTTTCAGGACACTCCATATTATACATAAATAAAGTATCTAAATTTCTAACTGAACTACTCTTCAAGACAATATTTGTACCAATTTTCTGTCACAAATGAAAATAGTGAGGGTTAATCTCACTTAAGAATGATACTCCAGGCCCATGCTAACCTTCAAGCCACTTCCACCATTATCAAGCATGCTCAATCTGATGACCATGTATATATACTCATGTCTAACAGAATAATTTCCATTGTAACAAAATCCTGGAAAGAATAAAGGTCAATCTCAGTTACAGATCTTGACAAACTTTCCACAGATCCACCACTGTATGGAACATCAGCTTCCAAGACCACTTTTAATCATAGCACAGACACAAAACTCCAACAGAGCTGCACAGAACTGTGAGTCAAGTTTCTTTGGCTGTCATTCTCATAAAAAATAGCCACAGCTTTTAAAATGTGGTAAGAAACTGGTGAGCTTTTGTCAAATCTTTGTGTATTATTTTGTTAGGAGTACTAGCAGATTTGCCAAGCTACACCATATTGTCTTTTTGGATCAAAGGGTTTTCTTTCTTAATCACAACTTTCACTACACAGATAAGGACATTGCTCTGGATTAACCTAAACGTACGATTTCTCGTTGCTTTCCTAAACACTTAGCCGAACAAGGCTTTCCACATTCATGGAGAACTTAACAAATTCCCTTGTTTTTTTAAATGCAGTGTCCTTACCTCCTTACCTTAATCACAACTTTCACTACACAGATAAGGACATTGCTCTGGATTAACCTAAACATACGATTTCTCATTGCTTTCCTAAACACTTAGCCGAACAAGGCTTTCCACATTCATGGAGAACTTAACAAATTCCCTTGTTTTTTTTAAATGCAGTGTCCTTACCTCTGTATCATTTATTATTATGAGTATCCTTCTTCAGAAAGGGTTGTGACATATTTCTAAAGCCATAATTTATATGATGCAGTATTACACTATCAGATGTTCAGGAATTTACTGTGAATCCAACAGATAAGTTCTAAACATTCCAATCATGACACTATGATTTACACCCCTGGCAACACAGTACTGTATTAGGATATGCAAATTATTCTTATAAAATAAGATTAACTTTCTACACAGTTAAAATAAAAAAACAACAACCTAGGAATATATATTCTGCATAGTTGAAATCCTAGAAACTATTCATGATTTCTACATAACATATATGAAATTAAATAGGAACAGCATGCTATGATTTTTCAACAGCAATTTAATTATCATGAGTAATAGATCACGTTACATTGTGCTGAATACACAGACACACATAATACAGGAATTAGCCATAATATGCTAGATTGGAACTTATTTTAAATACTAATACAACATAATTTTGTTTTTTATAAACCAGTCCTATCCATTGCCTTGACTGAATTTGTTGTGCACTTCTGCATCCAAGTAAGAAAAATGGTGCTTACTACAGTTTTCTTAACTTGTAAGCCTGGTAAAGGAGGAAATGAAGTCTGTTCCAGATCAAATTTGGATGAATCAAGCTTGACATCTCTATTGTCTGAACCTTTCATGTCATTGTCCTGTTTTGAAAAATATATCAATCAAGTTTACATAAACTACAAGTAAAAAAATGAAAATGCCAATAATGAACTGAAAACAAAAATTTTGTAAGAAAATATTCTCAATCTTAACTGTAACAAAAGCAATAATATTAAAGTTAAATTCAGGCTTTGGATTCATATGAATTCTCAAGAAGATTAAGTTTCTAGTCAGAATATATTTAACCTGCAAAAAAAAAAAAGACAACTGATTATTAAAAATCAAACACATTTAGGCTTCTAACACAATAAGTAATCCAAATCAGCAGGCTAAACTGGTGTTACATGTATAAATGTAGCCTACCATTTAATTGTTTGTTTTGTCAAATTTCACACAAAGCTACTCTAGGGCTATCTGCACTAGTTGACCTTAATTTAGAAGTGACAGACTAGAGAGAAGGCAGCTAGTCAGCACAACCTACAGCCAATCCAAGGAATAGTTGGATGGTCACATTATAATACCCCCATGGCTGAAAGAATGAGCATTTTCTGTGATGAGATTCAAACCTGCAATCCTCAGAATGCAAGTCAAGCACCCTAACCACCAGGCCTACCTTTTAATAAAATCAAGTTAGGGCAGAAATATTTCATCTTATAAAACAATGACAATGATAAACAAGCTTTTAATTTTTGAACCTATAGTGGTAACCCTATATTCCATGAAAAATAAAACTTTTTTCTCTTTAGATTAACACAAGTGCTGCAGTAGCTCACCTACTGCGTAGTGCAAACAAAATTCTCATCTCCATTTTACTATAGTATAATGCTTACAAACTACCCATTAATGATCTTACAGTACACAGACTGTTCTTAATATTGAATTAAAATGTATTTAGTGTCTCTCACCAATAAAAGCAACAGACATATTAGTGTGTTTGGTCCAGTAATTTTTTTAATGCATTGTTATAAAAAAATCTACCTGGTTTGACAATTTAATTTTCTTGAACTACAACTCCTGGATACACAAAGAAAAACTTGTGTTTTTAATTGTTAAGCAAACACTTTTCCTGGCAGACATTAAATAGCTATGATGTACAGTACACACCACACAGAAATAAATATACAAACTGAATAACACAAAAGAAGAAATTAAAAAAAAAGTATCATAATGAAATCATACAAAAGTTGTAAGAAACAAGCAATAAATGTATGTATTTATTTCAAATGTGGAATACTACACAAATTATATGATATTGTTCAAAAGAGGCTAGAAATACTGGTTTGTTTCTTACAGCATTTTAACCTTTTCCACATGAAATACAAGTAACTGAGCTCTGGTATTTATTAACCAAAAAAAATCTGAAAGAAACTTAGAAAAACTTAACTGTGAATCAGTAAATAAGATGATAATCTCACTTCCTTTCATAAGTGTAGATAACATAATGTAACTTCCTAACAGACTCAGATATTTAATTAATCCATATTCCAAGATTAGGTCAAGTATCACCATATAAATAAACACAAGGCACAGAATAACATTAATGATCTATACCTGAAGATATATATAAAACATATTATATCAAGATACACATAGCAATTGAAACTTCAACACAGTCACATACTAAGAAAATTCACATAAAGAAATTAAATTGCCTCATTGTTTCTCAAAATAAACTTCCTAATGCTACAGACACACTTGAATGCATAGTAAGACGTAAGTAAACAAAATCAGAAGAAAGTGTAGATAACAAATACAACACAAGACACTGCTTACACTCAACCTGAGAATGAAAAAGATGAATTCCAAATCAAAATAAAGTCAGCAGTCCAGAAAAGCTATGAAAGTAAAACCCATATAATACCATTCTGACAGAAAATGTGTCTTCAAGAACTTAAAGACAATGCCACAACAGTTTTACCAGTAGACAAATGTAATGCCATTGTATTGTGTTTGCTTTAGAGCAAAGCCACATTGGACTATCTGCTGTGTCCACTGTGGGGAATCAAACCCCAGATTTTAGGGATGTAAGCCCATGGAATTACCACTGTCTCACCAGGGGGGGGGGGGCAATGTCATTGCAATCATGGACAAAGAATACTCCAAACTCTAGTTGGGGATGGCCATTACACAAATATCAGGTCTAACCAACTATTAACACACAGAATAAAATTAATCAACTTCTTAAGAAACTTGGATCAAAAAAAGTCAAACAACCTCTGTAGTTTATCTACTACACACAAGCAAGGCTTGCCTCTTTGTCCCATAGTAAACTGTAGAGATTCACAATGCACCCTCTTAGCTAGGTAAAACATCCTTGTATGTTACATATTCTGTCCACTTTGTATAGATTACTAAAGTTAACAAGATAACCTCATAAGACACAATGATCAGTTTCAATGTTTCCAACCTTTTTGCTAATGTATCAACCCTTGAAACACTAGACATACTGTGCCAACAGTTTGAAAATCATAAAACTCAGGTAAAGCACCCAGCTGATATTCATAATAATAAAATTTCAATTTTTCTATATCAACACTATGCACTTTCAACATGAAGATAAGTACAACCAACAACAAGAAAGCTTAACCATGAGTTCATCCCAACTACCAGCATTCAGTAACCTCTATATCAAATATTTTGAAGAAAATACTTTAAAACAGACACTCAAAGACTCAGAATTTGGGTTCATATATATGTTGCCAATACATTCACATTATAGCCAAACACTACTGAAAAAAATTCCAAATTTCATAAATCACAGAAACAGACACCATATTGAAATACAATTCACATTAGAATAAAACTCCCATTTCTAAACATGGTGGATATCAAGTATCATAATTCATATACCACAGCAGTTTATACAGGAAAGATACTGGTAAATAGAGATCAAGCTATCCTACAGTGTAATGATGGGAATCACAGATTATTAGTCTCCAAAATGAACAAAATTTCAACACAGAAGATGCTAAGAAGAAAGAACAAAACATCACGACAACCCCCCCTTGACTACAGATCTCGTGAACATTTTAAAGAAATTAAAGAAAAGGATGAACACTAATAATAAACAAGAACATTACAGACACAAAATCATACTCTCTATATCAAAATATACAGAGGATATGGAGACAGCGTAAAGTCAGAGCAGTATTCAGAAGCCATAACACAATTAGAAATGGGCAATTAACTCAATATAATCAAGTAATCAAAATTATGATTAAATCAATTAACCCTTTAAGTATGGGTCTGGCTCCTTTGCACGTCATTACATTTTAGTTACATTCAAAATTTAATTAAACAGCTTTATTAATAATTTATGTCAAAAAACTTAACAACTGTTTTTGATTATTTCAACTATCCAGCAATCAAAATTATGATTAAAATCAAAAAACATATAATTATTATTATTACTGATTATTACAACCATCCAAGTAACTGAAATATTGTCACTATGATTGTTTACAACATCCTCATAGATGTGGCATCCAATACATTGGAGAAACAAAATGGCCAACAAAAGTCAGAAATCAGGAGTACAAAAGACAATCTGTAATACAGACTAAACAAAATAATTGATTATGAATCACAAAAACTATCAAAGAAGCCTTTTTGCATTCATTTAGCTGATAACACAGTCAATTTAAAAGAGAAAAAAACAAAACCTGCATACCCACTTCAAACCAAAAAGTAATTAGTGGATATAAAACCTAATGGGGGAGACAAAGGATGAAGTAGCCATTATAACAAATCCTGGTCAGTGCCACCATACAAAATGCTTCTCTAGAAAGGACAGCAGATTAGCAGCAAAATGTAGGATATACATTTATCAATAACTATAATGAGTACGAAAAAAAGTTACTAATAGTAAACAGACTTAGGCTACAAACCATGACAATAATAGATATTTCACTGCCTCAATCTTAACACAAGTACTTACTCTAAAGATTATTTTAATTTGAATAAATACATCGAACCATAGATGAAATTCACAACACTTACTCCATCTATGCTACTTTCATTTTGATTCAATTTTTGAGTTAACTATTTCTAGACTGAGTGACACTGACACTCCCTATAATTTTTCTTCTCACATTGGAAATACTTAACCAAATTGCATGAAACATATGTAACTAACTAAACAGCATATAGTTTTTGCTTAGAAAAAAAAATTCACAAAATTCTAGTATTTCTATCATTTTTTAGGTTGTGAATTTTCCAAAATGTTGTTGAGAGATGGTTTAAAAAAACCCATTAAAAATACTTCCTTTTCTCTTATAACCTCAATTGTATTTTTTCTTGATCACTAAGTTCCATTATATATATATATATAAAGTCAGTTTCAACTTCATTGATATTCAGTAACATATTTCTTTTGACATTTTATTTTGCCAAACTTATTAGTCACCACATCAGGCTATAATTTATAAAAACCATGGCAAAATCTGACAAAGATTTGTTGATGAACTAGGATTTCACCTTTCAAAATGGTGTCAATATTACCTTAGTCAGAATAGATAACATGAATTTTTATAAGAATGTTCTTGGTTGAGATCAGTTTACATTTAATAAAGTTTCTTTTCAATAAATAGATTATTTACTTTTTGCGCAGTGTTTGAACAGAATAAGCTTAATAATAATATTCATGTTTGTTACACAGAGTGATTTTAAGGAAGGGTTTGCAGTTCAGTGCATCATATCTCAAATGGTATGGCATAGAAAGCTGAAGAGAATCATGCAGATGCAAATGTCACAATTATCATCATATGTTGCCACCAGGGCAGCCATAGTGGTTTATTTTGCATATTTCTTATGGGTATAAATGGGCCTGTTTACCACACTTCAACTCACTCAGCCAGCATGAAATTTGCATGTGTGTTGTGAGATGAAACACTGTTACACTAAAGCATGCAATGTTGAGGCAGTGAGTGAAAAATCCACAAAGGGCTTTGACCAAGTGTTACTATGAGCAAGTTCACGAAAAACTGAGGACACAGGTTGCACTTGTGAAAAGCCACATGTGAAGGCAGACCACTGACACCTACAGAAACTATTACTGAGGTCAGCCATGCCATAGCAGAACAAGCCAGCACAAGTGCACATGGATGCAGCAGTGAATGTTATGTTGCCCAGTGTCTGAATTTGCCAATTTCATCTGTTCATAAGGCTGTTCGGTGCTCACAAGCTGCATCATGTTCAAACACTAAAGGAGATCAACAAAATCAGTCTTGTTAATTTTTTCACCGTAGTTCTTGACAAAGTTGAAAGTTGATGACTAATGGCATGTCAATATCTGATGGATTAACAAACATACTTCACTCTTTCTGGAAGTGTCAACATATGTAACTGCATTATCTGGTCAGAAACTAATTCACATATAACATTTTCATACATGCCTTCATGATGCTAAGGAGGCAGTGCAGTGTGGTTTCACATATAACTGTTTTTGAACCATACATTTTTGACGAACCTTCAGTGCATGCAGTACAAAGTTATAAGGTACGATGCAATGGTAGTTTTATGTATTGTGGTGCCCTTCCACATGATGGCAACCAGGTGACAGATTTTGTGCAAGCACTTTTAGGGCAAAACCATTTCCTCTCATTTTCCTAATGAATGGCCACCTTGTTCACCAAACCTATCACCAGATGATTTTTGGTTGTGAGGGTACCTGATATCGTGTGTGTGTGTACCGTGGGAAGCCTTGCACAATTCCAGAACCCAAGAACACAACTGTGAAGGAAGTCACCAGTATACCAAATGAGATGTGCAATGTTGCCATAATGTCTGTTGTCACATGGATGCAATGCATTCTAGACACTGTAGGAGCACATTTTGCCCAGTTGCTGCAATTTATCAGACATTAAGTCAAAGTAGCACCAATAAATAGCTTCCCATAAAAACCCATCCCTGTGCAATTTCACCTTTCTATGCCATACAACTTGTGAGATATGATACACTGAACTGTAAAACTTTCTTTATAATCATCATGTATATAAACAGAAAATTTTATTTACAAACAAATGCTTCATTTTCACTTCTATGGTAGTTTAACTGACAACAAATTAAGAATTAGTGTAGCAGACCTTGATTTTACAATAGACATAAATGAAAGGAAATGAATTAGTTACCACAACACACAGCTATTTCTTTATATACACACAGCTATTTCTTTATATACACACATATATACACACATATATATACAGACAAACATTCTATAGCTTGAAACTTATCTAATCATATATGAATAGCATTACCAAACATGCATCACAAAATGTAAGTAGTCCTATAAATGTTAAACTTTTTTTTTATATATAACTTCCACACATCCCAATTCATTCCTAGTTGATTAAACCATATTTGACAGGTCCAAATGCAAAAGCCTATGAGGTGTAAGAGGACACAAATTCTCTCATATTATAGTAGGATATACCATTTTTCATTAATTGCAAATTCTACACCACCACAAAGAGCAACTTAAAAACTTATTAACTAATGATAACTTACAGCTTTTGTATTGTTTTCATCTTTTCTCTTTCTCCTGGGACGGTTTCTGAAAGTAAATTAATAAAACAGTTCATTAAAAGATTAGAACAAAATGATTAGTATATCAATTGGTCAATAAACAAAAGCTGAAATAGAATCAAAATAACTCAAACCCATCAAATTGTATATGTAAGCCTGTATTATACAAAAAAAACAGCAAAAAAAAACCTTCAGCTAAAAATGTACTTATTCAACAGACAAAAAGAATAATAAAGAAATCCAGAAACATACAATAACTTAAGCTTTCTGTGTGCACGTAATTTACTTTAACATTTCAAAGGTTCAAAATGATATCACAATCAAGTTAACTTCAGTCTGTCTTGTACATAAAGTTCTAATTTAGAAGTTATTTGTATTCATGTTGCCCCATGTAAGGTAAAACCATCACTTTGTAAAATCACTCAAGGCAATTCTAGGCCAATTAACAAGTCTTTGTTTCTTTGGACTTGAAGGAGTTAGGATCGAGTATAAACATATAAACAAATCATGAAAATAGCTAAAATCCCTTCCCTTTCACCAAGTTGTTATCAAACAAACAGAATATATATAAAATATTGCAGAATAAAATATGGACTTGAATCATTAACTTTCTTGAGTCAGGCTTGGTCATTCTGACAGCTCTTGTAACCACCATGTAACCATGAAACTTTATATGTTATAATGTACTATGTACATTTTCACGGTTATTTGGCAGATTTTTTGTAAAAATCATGTTTGTTTTTTTTAAATCTGATTTTTTACTGAAGTATTTCTACTAAAAATTTGTTCCTGCATTTAGAAAACCTTTAGTGGCTAAGTTCAACTGAAAGTTGATTCTCATGATAAGAATAAAAATACTTCATCACTCAGTTTTCTTATTTCAACAGGTTTTCTGTTGAGAAAGCCAGTTAAATTATAGTAGTTATTTCTTCATTTTATTTTAATGTCTGATGTATTTTTTGTGTTTTAAAATAATATTAATTATTTTATGGACAACCAACATAATTTAAAAAAATAGTCTTTTTCAAAGTACTTTCTTGAGTTCAAATAAACCTATTTGATAAAGTAAGTAATATTTTTTTTTCATGTATATTTATTTATTACTATATTTTTATTAAACAAAAGTTACTGAAATGTAACATTTAGAAACCATATTAGGTTAGATAATAAAACATAAAAAATTAGTTCATGAGACCAACTTGAGCTAACTGCATCATGTAATTGTAATTTTATCTGCTTTTTTAACACTAACTTATCTCTCTGTGGTAACTGCTTTAATTAGTTGACTGTCATGTTGTTAGGTAGGGCCTAAAGGGCATTGTGAAATAAAAAGAAGCAGATGTGAAGTTTAAAAGGATGTGTTAGATAATTAAATGTAATTGTCTGTTACAGTCTGCAATCATTCTAGAACAATTAAAGTATTCTTTATTTCATTTTTTTATTTTTGTTTGTGTTAGTATAGAGAAAATATAAAATTTTACCAAAAAAAACCTTTGATATTCATTTAAAAAGTTATCTAAGCTATAAATAGGTTAAACAAATTCCATTGGCAACTAGAAAACTAAAAACAATGGCAAACAATGAAAAGGTTTCTAAAGCAAATATGGGACACGGTTATTAACCTTATAACTACCAGTGCAATTTTTAAATTCCTTTCTGCATATGGTACTGTTTTACATTCAAAATTTAAATAAACCACTTTGTTATCAATAAATATCAATTAAAGTAACATTATAATGTATGTTATCTAAGTTTTAATTCCTTTGTTTCAAAGGAAACATTAAAAAAAAAAACTGCAGTTCTCGTGTCATATAATCCACGTACTACGAAAAGTCTCAACTTTAGCAGTGGTTCAATCTTACCCACATAAGCTGGCAATGTACGAGTATCCAGATGTTAATGTATGTGTGTTTGAATTACTGACAGGTAAGATGCAAAGCCTGCAGCTGCAATCACTGGGAAACAGATATAAATTTTCCAACCCTTAACGGGTGCTATGCCTACCTTCTATACTTTGCCTTCAAATCTATAATATACATGTACTTAGTTGACACAAGTGAATATAGTTGTTAGAAAGAACTCAGTTTACACTATACAGCATTAATGGTTACTTTGAAATTGGCTTGCAGTTTTCTTCACAGTGTACATGTAATTGCCATTAGTATTGTTGTCTGCTAGATCGACTATAGCACCCGTGGTGGTTTCTTACCTAAATTATGCAATAGTTAGAGAGGCAGTTAAGTTGTATTTAAGTCTTACTTTTATATTTTAGTTAATTATGTATTATGTGTGTTTTAAAAATCATACTTGAGCAGTTTAATGATTTTTATAAATTTAACTTGCCACCTGGATTGTGACAGCTTATGAACAACATGGCATGTATAAGAGCCATCTTGTTTAGGCAATGCATCTCTGTGAGGAGTCTGATGAAATAACTTCATAAAGCCCCACAGGCATTAGTTGACATATTGGCACAAATAATAAATGACAGTTTAAAATGAAAATTTAAAATATATTATAAGTGAAAAGATAAAGATGTGAAATTATGCATATAAGAAAAAATAAGAGTTTAAATAAAATGAAGATAAACGTTTTTTACTTGCAAACA